GAACATACACTTCGGAGTGTCTCTTGATGCTTGTACTGCTGCTTGGAACTTATAGGTCATTGAAAAGTCAGAAATAATATGATGCATATATTGTGGATTGATGATTGAGGTGTTATTTGTAGAATTTGTAGTTTTACTTGTGTAGTTGTTTATATGAAGAAATACATGATTGAGCCGTAATTTTAAGCGCAAAGCTAGAAAGAACTTGTGTAATTGTATGAACGAATAAAGTCCTCTTAAGGTATTGAATGCCATGGGTTAGTTCTCAACTATGTTGCGACATTGTCAGGGAGCTTTTACACACAAGAGAACGACAAGATGATACATATAAACAATTAAATGCTGTGTTGGGTGAATCGTGTATCAGTTGTGAACTCAAGTTGGCTGGTCCTGAGTATGAATGTTGTCAAGGTATCTCATCTCTTTCTCTTGCTATAACAGAAGAGTTATTCCGTTTTGATCTATCAGATAAAGAGATTCGTTCGCAAGCTCTTATCCAAGACATGGTGAGACTGAAGAAAGCAAATGTGGTAGTTGACAATTCATTGAGCCCGGCTCATACATTGTGTCAAATACTTTGTGTTGATCACAAAGGTCTTTTCTATGATTTGTTGAGAACTTTGAAAGACTGCAATATCATGGTATTCTGCGTTCTGCTAAACTTTTAAATTATTAACAAGTTCCTTAAAATATTAGCTGTGTAGGCTATTTTCCTTTGATTATTTGTTTTGACACGTTCCATATAATTTGTCTGTTCAATTGTGCTGCATAATTCCTGCATCTCATGCCATTCCTATTTTTCAAAAATGACATGATTGAGGTAGTTTCACCTACATGGCTACCCCCTAAATAAAATGAGTGAAATTAATTCTGTTTAGAGTTCAGACAATGTGATATCTGGGTTTGATATCTATACCGATTGCATGGTGCAAAAGAGTTGGGGACCTATTAAACTATATACTACTTTTTTGACCCACATGATTTCCTCTTGCTGAATGAAGGGGCTAATGATGAGAATGACTTTGCTGTACATTTTTATGTTGCATCTACTCTTTATTTATGTAAGTATCCATGTGTGAAATTCCCCATTCGACATATATCCAAACATGCATACGGTGTGAAATCTTCTAAGGGTTCTCCAAATATATAATAACCTTGAAAAAGTTGAACATGTCTTTGAAGGACACTCACTAATGACTTCCCTATGCTGTCAGCTTGACTTAAATTTTGATTTTATTGATAATGGCTGTTTGTTATTTTACCCAGATAGCTTATGGTCTGTTCTCAATAAATTCCAACGGTTATCGTGATCTAGACCTGTTTATTCAGCAAAACAATGGGAAGAAGATTCTGGATCCTGATAAGCAAGATGGATTATGTTCTCGTTTGAGGATGGAAATGCTTCACCCATTGCGTGTTATCATTTCAAACCGAGGGCCAGATACTGAACTTCTAGTTGCTAATCCAGTTGAGTTATCAGGAAAGGGAAGACCAAGGGTGTTCTATAATGTTACACTAGCTCTGAAGTCTCTTGGAATTTGCATATTCTCGGTAAGAGATAAATTCAATGAAAATGATTCTGAAACCTATGAATATACTGCACTTTTGTTGTTTGCTATGATATTTCATAACGGAAGGTCAACAATAATGCAAAAGCTCCTTGGGACTTGAGTTTTGTATTTCTATAGTTTTAAGACACATGTATGGTAGCATGATTGGCTAATAGTTCATTCAAGAATCAACTGGTTGTAGCATACTAACATATTTAATTTTTTTTTTCAAGATTTTCTTGTACTTGGAGGGTCTTGAAAAAATTCTCTCCCTACCATTAGCTTCTGAAAGTGCGGTTTGTTGTATCATTTTCGCCCAAGGCCGCCGATATGGTTGTTTTAAATTTTAGGCTGATATTGGGAGATATTCAAGTTCAGAGCATGAATGGGAAGTGTACAGGTTTCTTTTGGATGAGAAGTGCGGATTCAAATTAGCAAGTACGGTAGCTAGAAATCAGATTGTTGACGGAGTTGAAGGTTACTCATGGGTTGGTAAAGAGCAATTCTTATGAGATAAAATGGAATGCTGAAGCTTTCAAGAAAACATTAGGACTTTGGATATTGTTAAATTTATTATTGTTCATCCTTATTCATAAAAATAATTCTTGACAGATAAAAGAAGAAAAAGAAATCTACCCATCGGAATCAAAACATAATTGAAGATTACAAGATGATAGCTTTCCACTAACCCAAATTCTTTATGCCCAAGTCAAAAGGAACAAGCCTCATACTCCATACATCAAGACACTAAGACTTCTTTCCATGACTAGTGTATAAGGTAGAGATGAAGCACATAATGTCCACAGTAGAAAGAAAGACTTAAAACCAACCAATACAACCTTCAATTTGTGTGGAATCTTCATACACCTTTCCTCCTCCAGCACCACCACGTTGCCTGCCAAACATACCAATCTTAGTCTAGGAGGGGTAGCAAATTTTGTTCTAACAATCTTTTAATTTTCATCAGCCTCCCGTCGAGCTGAACATTGTTGTATCCGCCAAAGCCTTCTATCCGTGCCAAGAAAAATTGTTATTTTGTTCTAAACTACTGCAAGATACAAACAACTTTATTGGAAAACCCAACATCACAAACCTTGGGTCACCCACTCCTATTATCATATAGTGGACCGAAAATCGCTTCATGTCACCAACCCCAGAAAATAACTACTGTATATGAAGAAAACTAAATTAACAGCAATACAACACTGGTCGTGAAAGAAAAATGCCGATTATTACCCATTTTGGCCACACATTTTTCTCTTATGTCTACAAAAATGCTATAGTACTCACATTTATGTACAAAGGCAGAACACAGTGAAGATTAGTAATATAAAAAATTATAATCTTAACCCTTAATTTTTATAAAAAAATTGGTCCAACAAAATTTTTAAGAATTTAGATTAAGCTTTGAAATTTTTTAATGCCCCTTCAATAATTTTTAAAAAATTTCATCAAGCCTCTCAAAGTTTTAAAAATTTTAGTTAGACTCCAATTTTTTTTTTTTGTTGAAAAAAATGTAAATTGGATCATTCGATCGATCTTTTTGAAAAATTTAATTTTAACGTTTGAACTTTTTAAAAATTTAAGTTGACCACAAAATATCACAAGTTCGACACTGTTTATATACTCAATCAATACAAGATTCGTATCACATTACTAACTCTTATTTTAACCAAGGATCACAAGTCCGATTTGATATAAAATTGTCTCCGCCATGTATCAAAAACCTTTTCAGACACAATTTTTCCGCAACCAGCAGCTCGCAGAATACACTATATTATACACCAATCAAGCTGGTATTAGATAAGCGAAGTGAAACTCACAAATCCTGCCTAACTAAGAAAAAGGAAACAAAAGTGAATAAAAACATGGGATTTCTATAGGAATGACAAATGACAAAAACATACAACATCAAGGGTCAAGTAATTGCAAGCTAGATTAAAAACCGAAATGTGCTCGAGAAAATAAGCTATGGAAATGGTTCAGATTTGATAACAGAAAGGAAATACATAAGAACGCACCAAGATTAATATCAGCCATCGAAAAGCTTAAGAAGAATTGATTATATGCAAAATATAAAACAAAGAAAGATAGTTATTGTAGATTAGACGCTGATCAAGAACATTTATAGAAGACAAATAAAGGCATTTTCAAATCAAAGTCCCAACTATTTTGGATCCCTCAGCAACATGTAATACATACATTCACCAAAAAGGAACTTACAAGAAAATACCTGAGCTTAAATTCTCAAATTTCAACGAATTCACATTTCCAAAAGATGCAGAAACCCTCACTGTTCAAATTGCTACATTTTAGAGCTAGTAAATTTAGTCACCGCCTTAGTACCTTCAGACACGGCGTGTTTCGCAAGTTCTCCGGGCAGAACAAGTCTAACCGCAGTCTGGATTTCCCTGAAGGTGATCGTAGGCTTCTTGTTGTACCTCGCTAGCCTCGAAGCTCCTTGAGCAAGCTTCTCAAAGATATCGTGGATGAAACTGTTCATGATTCCCATGGCTTTGCTTGAGATCCCAATATCACGATGGACTTGTTTGAGGACCTTGAATATGTAGATCTTGTAAGTCTCCACACTCTTCTTGGCTTTCTTTCTTTTTTTCGCCTCCGGCAGCGCCGCCCTCCTTTGGAAGCTTCTTGCCGACCTTTGGCTTCTTCTCGGCCGGTTTCTTCTCAGCTTTTGAGGCCATCGAGAAAGCAAGATTGTTGCATAGAGCGTAAGCTGGGAAATTTGACTGCTGTGATGGTGGTTGAGTGAGAACTGGAGGAAAAGAATAGTTGGGGTTTAGTATTTATAGAAGTTAAAGGAAACGTTTGATTGGAGGTACGGAGAGACGAGGATCGAGTATTTGGACATTCCTGACCATTGGATTAGGATTTCGGAATGGGGATCAACGGCCTGGGGAGATAAGTAAAAGACATTTTACGTGGGAAGTAATGTTGGAGACGTGGCGATACTTTATTGGCAGCTATTGTGGAGTTTGGATTGAAGAGCTAAGACGTTTTCGGCTGCCAGCGAAAGTGGAAATGATTTCTTTTCCAAATTTTGTATTGGGAAAAGTATATTTGAAGATCACTAAATTATACATATGTAAACTTTTATAACAATTATAATAATGACTAAAACAATCATTTGAGAAGATAGTTCATTGACTTATGTACTTGATCCATTTATATTTATAAGCGAAAGTTTCAAACTCGGTGTTATTTTTATAAAGATATATTTATCTGCTGTCTTCTTATTTACCTTTGATCATAAAACAAAATGAACCAATTAATTGCTTGCAGGCCACTTACAGTCTGTACGAGTAACCAAATATCCGTTCTTATGGATTTAACCACGCAAGAACAAGCCTAAGAAGAGAGTACCATATTCATATATCCCTGAAGAATATAGAATTTCGTTCTACTGAATCAAACTGTAAGACGCTGTTTCATTCAGGTCGATAATAATGCCTTCCGCAACCTATTAACATTTCACTTAAAGCAAAAGGAGAAAGAATTTGAATATCATGCCTCCTGGAGACTTCAATTTAGTTCACGCGGCTTCTTATAACATCAAGTCCCATCTCGGTGGGATCAGTTGCCTGTAGCTCTAGTTGAATGCCGTTCAACTCTCTCTTGAACCTGTCCTTCGAGCTTGCATTAATCATCTTGCTTCTCACCCTTGAGGTGTCCGGAGACCTTGAAACAAACAAAAAACAATGACTGAAACGTACAAGGCATGGGACAGTAAAAATCACTCATAGTTTCAAGCATATTAATAGTACCATGCAATGAAGAAAATACTGCTTTTCTGGCAATTTTCAGCAGTCACAAAGTCAAAATCATATACAGCATATCGACACTCATCGGCAGGGAGGCTAGCAGTGAAATCATCATAGCTTTGAGTTGGCTCACCAAGTTTCTCCATTTCAGAAGCTGCGTTTGCCTGTAACAAAAGAATTCATAGCAGACATAAGCTTACATACAACAACGACCCCTTCAAACTATATATTACAAATTAATCCATCAACTTGTCTGACTTATTTTTCTTGTTTCCCTATGCCAGCATTCCCAAGACAATAATTAATAAATACTAGAAAAAACTCGTATTCATGAATTCTCTCTATTATTGAAAATAAGGCAATGTTAGGTCAGTGACTCAAAAACTTCACAAAAATTATACACTCCGGAGAACAAGAGCTCCACTTCCTTAACGAACTCACAAATCTAACCATCCAGGCCATCCATTCCACACTGATTTTCCAGGTTTTCAAAATACACAATAAACTTGAAATCACAAAAAATTCTTTCTATTAAACGTAAATGCAATAGTCCAAACTTGAAAGGAGTTTTAGATATTGGGTGCGATTGTAAGAGATGAATGCCAATGAATTTATTTGAGATAAATTCAAGAAACAACAATCACACCCGTTGAAAAAGAGAGCTCAGCTGCCCAACTTCCTCAACCAACCCACAAATCTAACAATCAACTAATATTCTTACACATTTAACAGGCCTAAGTGCAATATCCCAACCTAGAGTGTTAAATAGCAGGGGCCAGAATGAGATAATGCAATGACCTTGAGACAAATTCAAGCAAAACAACAATAAGAATAACAAAGGGGTTGAGAATGCATGTCATGGTTCATCAGTAGGATATCAAATCTGTAGTGAGCCATATCCACTTGTGGCGGCAAAAAGCTTCAGCCTTTAAAAAAAAAAAAAAAAGAATGAGTAAATCAATGAATCTATCTCAAAAACATAATCTATCCACAAATGGACATTGGAAGAATGATCAAGAAATCAGAACCACAAAATTTCGAATTACAAAAGCCCAGGCGTCTTTTGAAAATTTTTCTCTCTCCTCCGACATCCACCCATTGTCAGCTGCCTCCGACAACCGTCCGCTGCTGCCGCCGCCGTCCGCCGCCATACTCCGACCACCGTTTGAAGCTTTTTTCTCCTGGGAAGTTCACCGACTCGAGGTGATTCCAAATCTGGCTTTAGATTTGCGATTGAGACATTCAATCGACGCAGATCTGCTCGAAGTTCACCGTCGATTTACGCCTCTTCCCGCCGCTAGTGGTCGTCTCCGCCTCACCACCGGACTCAGCTTCTTCTCGCGATCATAACTCCCTTTCCTAGTGTCGAAAATCAGTTCTATTTCCAGTGTACTGGTTCGGTGAAATCTTACCCTATCCAAGCTGTCTGTTTTTCCAGTTAATCCTCTTCCCAACTTCCCAGTTCTATCCATCTGGTTCGGTGAAATCTTACACTATCCTCCAAGCTGTCTGTTTTTCCTGTAAATCATCTTTCCCAGATCTCCATGGATCCTCTACGCTCGTCTAAGCACAGGCGTACTAGTGGTTTAGCTGCAACAACTGCGGCAGGTGCAGCGTCTGTGAACTCCATTAGTACTTCCTCTGGACCTGACAATGCAATCAATTTTTCATTTTCCGGCAAGGAAAAACGTGAGAGGGAGAGCGAAAAGGAAAGGACAAAGCTCCGGAGACGGAACAGGCGAGCCTTCACTAGACGTATGCTGGCCGGATTGCGGCAGTTTGGTAATTTCCATCTCTCAGAGCGTTCTAATATGAACGATGTACTGGCCGCCTTGGCCCGTGAGGCAGGTTGGACAGTTGAGGCCGACGGCACTACCTTCAGGCAATCGCCTTCGCCCCAAAAGCAAAATTCAAGAGTATTCTCAGCAAGGTTGGGTGATAGTCCTTTATCAACCGGGTGTTTGAAAAATTGCTTTGCTAAAGCTACTTCAGACTGTCACCCTCCTGTTGGTAGGATTGATGACAATGGACTGTCTTCTTCTCAGGAGGGAAACAAAAGCTCGGAACTAATTCTGTAGTGCAGACAACACCAACTTTACCTATCGCTGATATTGTTCAGGATGGAACCAAGGAGAGCATCATGAAAGGGTACTCCCATGAAAAGTTTTCCGAAGTAACGAGAAGGAAAAAATGAGTTTCAAAATTGGTCGAAGGATGGTCATCCAAGAATCGGAAATGGGATCAGAAATGGTTGTTTCACGATTTTTATCGAAAACCTTCCAGAGATGATCCATTGGAAGAGACTTGGGTCTATTTTTGGCACACATGGTCATGTTATTGATGCCTTCATTCCTAAAAAAAGAAACTCGAAAGGGGTCCGTTTTGGGTTTATTCGGTATGCAACTATTGAAGAAGCAAGGAGAGCAATCTCAAAAATGAATGGCTCTCGTATCGATGGCAGCAAAGTTGGCGTTTCTTATGCTAAATTCAAACCTCGACATTCCTATTGGAGGAAGTCCTCGTCAGGTGTTCTTCGCAAGTCCGGGATGGAAGATGATTCGAGGAAGAATCATTATAAAGTTGAAGGTGTTATAGATGAAGAAAAACTTCAGGTGTTGAGCAATTGTCTAGTGGGGTGGTGCAAGGACTTTGTCAAAATTGGTCATCTCGCTAGACAAATGCAAGCGAAGGGCCTCACTGGCTTTACCTTAATGAGAGCTGCTGGTTAATGCGATTTTAATGATTTTCGAAGACAATGCTTCATTGAGAAGTGAAGAACAAAAATCAATTTCTCGCAGAGTGGTTCTCCATAGTCGAAGCTTGGTCAGAGAGTTTGGTAATGGAGTGTCGTCGAGTATGGTTAGTTTGCGAGGGTGTTCCTTTTCACGCATGGAATTGGAATACTTTCAAGAACATTGTTGATAAGTGGGGTTTATTACTAGCTATCGACGAAAGTTCATAAAGGCTGATGCGAGAATTGATGCGATGGTGGAATTGAAGGTTGGTGACAACTTCTTCAAGGTCATGGTGCATGAGATAGAGCCTTCATTCAAACCAAACCTTGGGCTCCTGAAGAAGACGAGTCTCATTAGATCTTGTCTCTTCAATTGTGGTTTTTTTTTATCTATATGGTTGTAGGTGTTGCTTTTTTGCTTATGTTCTGTTGCGTTGTTTTAATCCTACTGCTATGGTGTAATTAGAAGGTGATTGGATTGTGGCTTTGGATGAGGATATATAGGGTTAAGGTGTTTGTTGTAATGGTGTACATCACCATGAGAGGATATTCCGTGGTGTCTTTTGTATCGGGTATTATTATCAATAAAATTTGAGGTACTCTTTCTTCCTTCCAATGTTCGTTAACATACTTTTAGTATGTGAACGAATACGAAGGGAGTTTTTAATGAGACCTCCAACTTCTATCAAAAAAAAGAAATCAGAACTTGAAACAGGAAATAAATGCAGGTGTCAATACCAAAAAGTCAATACACATACACAATTGTTCTATCATACATTAATACATTATAATGCTTATCAATATTTGTATTCAAAAAAGAAATTCCCAAAAGAATCAAAATGTCAGATATCCATGGATGTTAGCAGAAGCATCTGTTTTATCTGAAAAAAGCTCTGAAACTAAATACGAATTTAAAAATCCAAAACAACAGCAAGAGATCAAACATTGAACAGTTATTCTATCATCGAATCATCAACTCGATTACAAATTCAAGAAATGAAATCCAGTACTCAAATAATTTAAAATTTCAAACTAAGTTAAAGATCTATGTTCAAAGTAAATGACAATTGGATGTATACTTTGAAAAAGAAAAATCAAGATTTAGTCAATGAATCATAGATCAGACAAACACTAGTTGAACTAAGAAGAACAATAAGAAAACCGAAAAAGAAATAAAAAAGGAAAATGCAAAACTCACCATCGCTTCTTTAGATTGAACTTACGGAGAGAAAATCTGAAGGCGATCTCAAAGAAACAGAAGATGATAATTAAGGACTTACTTTTTCAAAATATATATATATATATTGCTTCGTGAAGCGAAATATTCTTTAGAGGTTTTTCATTTTAGTTGCTTTACTCCGTCATGATGAGGTCGTGAGGGAGAATGGGGGTTTGTCCATTGATGATGCGACACGTGGATTAAAGAAGAAATATCGGGTATGCCCCGATGTGAGGTTGCTTTGGCGGTCGGCTCTCAACCCGGATTCGGAACGAACTTCATGAAATAATCTCCCTCCTCCCAGCACATTAGATTAGCGCTTACTGCATTCCAACCCAATGGATGCAATCCCCCGAGTTAAAGAATATGAAAAAGCATAGTGTGCCTGCCCAAGCTGTGCTTTGAAAGTTCATCTTTAGTTTCTTTTCAACTGCGGATTTATTCAACAGCTACTGCCGGTGTGTTTTATTTTCAGGGCATTCTACAAATTTGGATCATGACCTTATGTCATAACCATTTTTTTTTAAACAATTAGATATCATTTTTAAAAACAATTATGACTTTAATTTGGAAATTTTGGTGATTTGAATAAAATTGAAAAGAGTCGCCATCGACCTTTGGGTTAGGTAGGTCAAACACCTAAGAACGTCTTTTAAAAACAATTTTAAGAAAAATAATTTTATAAGACAAAATTTGGTCTACGTTACCAAAGATTCATTTAAAACAGGTTCGGGAGTCGGTTACGTGTGGGGAAGGGTAAACACCCCCACAACGCCCAAAATTGGTACTGTATAGCTTACACATCGTCGTAAATGGTGAAAATTACAATTTGAATATAAAACTAAAAATTCTTAATTTGAAAGGAAATCTCGAGATTAACAATCCTCCGTCGGGAAAGTTAACTTGTCTATTTCTTATCTTTTAAAGAATATTCTCTCATCATTTATTTAAAAACATATCGAATAAAAAAAGAAAATTTAAAATTTACATTCACATAAAATAAAGTAAGTGTCACTTAAGGTACCACATATTACATCATTTTAATAAATTAATTAGTAAAATATACTCGACTTGTTACAAGTCCCTATGTCGTAAAAATGCCATATCGGATCGTACCACTTCGACCAAGTGGTACTTTCCACGCCCATTCTACGCATACGTGTTCTTGAAAGTATAATCGAATATTTCTTACATGGATAAAAATATAATGAAAATAAATGTGATTGGAAACACAAAGATTTACATTAAATTAAGTAAACACATACCAATAATTAACTAATGAGTAAAATGCACATCCATACATAAATGACTAAATATAAATAGTAAATTACAGCCCAAAATAAATATAAACATTTAAGGGGCTAAAATATAATTAACAAATATTTAAAAAAACAGTAAAGAAGAAGGGCTAAAATATAATTAACAAATATTTAAAAAAACAGTAAAAGAAGAAAAAAAATAAACCATAAATCATATTAGGGACCAAAATGAAATGAAAAAACATAAAGAACTAAACCACAATTAAGCCAAATGTTAAACAGGGACTAAAACGAAACATGCATAAAAAATATGGCCAAATTAAAATATCAACAAAAACATAGAAGGCCGAATAATAATTAAATCTGAATACAACAATGACTAAAATAAAATACATACGAATGTCAAGACCAGATTCGAATACCACATAAAAATATACAATGAACTAAAACAGTGACTAAAATGAACCAAAAAGAAAATTTAAGCCTAAATCAAACATTAACCCAATCGAACCCACAAGCCAACATAAAGGACCGAAATGAAAAGGAAGCAAAACAGATGACCAAAATCAAACTCATCGAAAATAAAAACTAAGAACAAAGATGGACTAAAATAGAAGGCAACCCAGTTTAAAGACTAAAACATAAATGTTAATAAATTCCATTAATATACATACAATGATCAAAATAAAATTAATCACAAATCAATAAACCTGAATAGGCATAAACCAAACTAACATTACAGAAATTTAAGGACTGAAATAAACATTTCACAAGTTCCAGGCCTGATATAAAAATTATCATAAACATCAACACATATGTTAGGACGAAAATATAACAGAAAAAAGGAGACTAAATAGAAAAACTGAAACCTAAAAGACTAAATAGGAATTAAGCCATACACAAGCCAATGGCTAAATAATATATTTACAATATAGTGACTAATGTCAATATTAACAAAAATAACTTAACAAATAATAAAAGGACTAAACATAAATAAGGAAACATCAGAATCTGAAATCAAATAAATGAAACTTCATTTAATGGCTACAACAGAACGTTACAAATATATGGGGACCTATAGTGCGATTTACCCTAAAAATATGAGAAACACGGGGAAGATTAAGAACATATGGGGACCAAATGGGCTATTTACCCTTTCATGCTGAAACACGCATACCCTGAACCTGAACGGCGTCGTTTTGCTTATATGTTTCATTTAAGCTAAATAGGATAGTTTTTTTTTATTTGTTTCATTTTAACCTAAGAAGAGAGAGAGAGTAAGAGAGACAGAGAGAGAGAGAGATCCAGAAACGTGGAGTCTCCACCGTGCCGGCCGCCTCTCGTCGGCGGCCACCGCCGTTCACTGACGTCGAAGAGAGAGGGAAGGCATCATTCGAAGCACCCTTTCACCCTGAGCATGGATCGGGGATCCGTTGGCCTGAAACGGCTCAAACTCCGTAGATCTACAATGGAACCTACGGTTTCTTCGACTCCGGCAGCCACGGAATGACCTTGAACCGAGGTAGGGCTTCGCCCTTTTCTTTCTCTCTTAGTTTTCTTTTTCTTTTTTTTTTCGAATGGAATTTCTTTTTTTTTCTCTCAAAACCCCTCCCACCTCTCTGTTTTTTTTTTTTACCACCGAATGACCCCCCCATTATGGTTGCCCTGTTGGATTTTTTAAGGGTTCTTCGGTGATAATGGTACCTAAGGCTTAGGGAAATAGGGGTTGTTGATTTAGGGTGATTGAATCCCGGATTTCGGATTATAGGGATTTTTATTTAGATTATTTTTGTTTTTTATTGGGTTTTTTTCTCTGATTGTGATTGATTTGGTATGTTGTCACTGTTGACTGCTTGAGGGATGGGCTCTGATCGGCTCGGGAAGCTTTCGCGATGGCTCGTCGACTGGAACTCACTGGCGGCAGTGGCTTGATGGCTGTTGGCTTGAACGGCTACTGGAACGTTGAAGAGGCACGACGGCTGGATTAGTTTAGGGTTATGAAACCCTATTTACCATCGATCTGGACCGTGAATGGGTCCAGATCGAATGGTCTATGTTGGTGCGGCGCTGGGATGTTGATACCTAAGGTTAGGGTTTGCATCGGGCTGCTGAGTGATGGGTATTGGTTGGGCCTCGGTTGGGCCCTGTTGTATTGGGCTTTGGCCTGTAAAATATGTAATATGTAATTAATAAACATAATAATAATAAAAATAATAATAATAATAAATAACGATAAAAAAACCCGGACAAAAACGGGTGTTACAGCTGCCCCTCTTTGCACATTCTTGTGTTAACAAGAATAGGGCAAAGATGATAAGACAACACGTTTTGTCTAGTTCTCTTCCATTTATACATAGAAATTGGATAATATTGGTTGTTGGGGACGACATGCTCATACGTGATGAAGAGTTTGGGTCGTCTAAAGGTGACACGCTCTACGTGATGAAGAGTTCTTGGCTATTTAAAGGTGATAACACGGTTCTCCTACGTGATGAGGACGGTTATCTATGGTTGACCGGCTCCTACGTGATGAGGAGATCTGGTCTGGGGATGACACGGCTCATACGTGATGAAGAGTTCTAGCCATCTAAAGGTGATAACACGGTTCCTACGTGATGAGGACGGCTGGTTATCTATGGTTGACACGGGCTACGTGATGAAGAGATTCTGGTCGGGGAATGACACGGCTCATACGTGATGAAGAGTTCTGGCCATCTAAAGGTGATAACACGGTTCTACGTGATGAGGACGGCTGGTTATCTATGGTTGACACGGCTCCTACGGATGAGGAGATCTGGTCTGGGGATGACACGGCTCATACGTGATGAAGAGTTCTGGCCATCTAAAGGTGATAACATGGTTCCTACGTGATGAGGACGGCTGGTTATCTCTAGGATAATGGTTCAAAGGAGACCAACTCAAAGATGTGTTCAATAGAAACAAACTCAAAGATTGGATTTTGATAAAAATTGTCTCAAGGGAGACGAAATTCGTTTCAAAAGAAACGATCTCAAGATATTTGCTTTATTTCAAGTGAAATAAACTCAAACATAAGTTTTTCCAAGCAACTGTCTTGAAGAGACAAAATCGTTTCAAAGGAAACAACCCAAAGACGGCGTTTAAAGGAATTGTCTCAACCGAGACAAAATTTTTTTTTTTTTTTTTTTTTTAAGGGAAACGTTCTCAAGATCGTGTTTCATGAGAAATTGGCTCAAATGAGACAAATTCATTTCAAGAGAAACGATCTCAAAGATGTTTATTTTGTTTCAAGGGAAACCGATTCAAAGATGGTGAATTTTGTTCAAAGAAATAAAATCAAAGATTTTTCTCAAAGACTGTCTCGAGAGACACAAAATTTTGTTTCCAAAGAAAGAGATTCAATGATTTTTTTATTTTTTTATTTTTTGAAAAGACATTGTCAAGAGACAAAACTTTGTTTTTCAGAAAATGGTATCTTAGTGAGACGAAATTTTGTTTCCAAAGAAATAGACTCAAAGATTTTTCTTCAAAACAAATTGTTTTAAGGATAAAACATTGTTTCCAGAGAAACAAGCTCAAAGATGATCTTGTTTTAAGAGAAAATGCTTCAATAGAAAATGTTTCAAGTGAAACGACTCAAAAATGGTTTTATTTCAAGTGAAACAAACTCAAAGATTTTGTATTTCTAGAGAAACTGCCTCAAGAGAGTCAAAATTTGTTTTAATAAAAGCATCTCAAGGTGGGTAATTTTAAAAGAATTGTCTAAACGATCTCAAATATGGGTTTTCAAAAGAAGTTGTCTCGAGAGACAAAATTTTGTTCAAAGGAAACAAACTCAAGATTTTTTCCAAAAGAAATTGTCTTTAAGA